TAGGCTTTGAAAACTCGGGCATTTGGAGGAAGGAGCCTGAAGGTCTTTTTTAGGAAAGTTAACCAGAAATTACTGCAGTTGGACACAGAGCTGAGCTTTAAGAGTATGACCACTTTGCCCTCTCCCCTCCTCCCCTTTTATTTAGAAAGCAAGCAAACAAACAATAAGCCCCTTGCCTTCATTCATTTTCAGCTAAAGTGGTCTTCCCTACTTCAATTTCTGTTTCTGATTGCCTACATGGCTATTTTGAAATAGCACTTAGCATCTGTGAGTGACAAGCTGGATTTACAAGAAATATATTTTTTTGCCTCTTTACCTTCCTTCTTTTATATTCTGGGATCATTTCCCTTCCTGGCCATCTAAATCCATATTCTTTTTTTTTTTTTCTTTTGTCATTGATTGTGTTGTCTTTCTCTCTTCCCTGTTCTGTCCTTTTTAGTTTTACCATGCATTTCTGTTCCTCATTTTCCCTCCTTTCCCAGCCTTATGAAATGCTGTCATGGTATCAGGTTGGGACTGCAAGGAAAGTTGCCAAAATTTCCACAGAAGGAAATATTGCTTCTACAATAAAGGCAGCGTCTGCTTCCTTCCCTCACCTACTGCTGCCAATATGTTTCAGATTCACAAGGTAGCTCCACAATAAGACTGGAAGAAGGAGAGATTCCCCTGAATTTTTTGTTCAGTCACCCAGGTTATCTACTCCTTAGGCCAGTCCCCATCCTTAAAATACAAACTTTTCATAGCAAAATAATGTCCATGTTAAAAAGAACAACGTGATAGTGGTGCATCAGGTACTTTTGCCACAGCACTAATTCACCAAAAATCTGATGGATATTAAGATACTGCTTTTCAGAGTTAAAAATAACTGATTATTGATGAGCTAATGTGTGTATCTTGCAACTGGCAGCCATTTCTAATCCCATATTACCGGTTTCCTTGGTACCTTGCTAGCAGCTGTAGATATTTTTTTTTTGTTGTAAACATAAACTATCATCTAAATCAGGACTATATATATATTTAATTACTTCAGAAGCAAAGTGCTTTTAACCTTATGATTTTTACTTCTGCCCTGTAGAAACGGCACTAGGTCTAAATGCTCAAATTTTTGCTTTTTGATACATCCTGCAGCATTAGCTTTGTAGGCAACTCCTCATTTAAACCTACTGTACTGCACGAAAGGCTGCCTTACTGTAGGTGTAAATTTGAATGTTAGCCATCACTTAAACATGCATTTTCATGCAACTAGGAGATATGGGCTCATTCAACTGCTTCTCAGATTCATCCTGATTTTTGTGATCTTATCTTATTAAAAAGGCTTTCAAAACAGTTCATGCTATGATATGTATGACTAGAGAAATGTATGACCCAGCCAATGAAGAAAGCCCACAAGCTGTTATTTAAGTTTGACATGGAGCAGATTGAGTGCTTCTGTACCGTCCCCTGGCTTGCAAATGCTTTGAGATGATCTTGATATTCCAGTCCTTAGAGAGTCAGCAGAGAGAGTCGTTTCCACTAACGGGCGCGAGATGGCTTCAGTAGTCTCTGTTCCTGCCTCTGTCTCCAACTCTTCATCAGTTATAAATAATTTTGACTCCCTCCATTTGGAGTATACCTCTTGGCTGCCTCTGGAACCACTGGAGTCACTGCCAGCAACCTGTACATTCAGTTCTTCTGTTGATTGTATAAGGTTTTGTACAGATAAAGATTTTCCTAAGTCCATTTGCAACACAGGTTTAACTGAGAGCAAAGTTTCTCCTTCTGTATCCAGACTTTTTCTCCATGTGAGATCCTTTGTCACACTGGGCTGTGCAACTTGTCCATTATCCTTTGATGCAACAAGGCAAGCGGTGACATCAGAAATATTTTCCTGTGTGGTCACAGGGATAATATGAACAGGCTCAGGCCTACTGATATGCTTCATTGATGAGAAGGGTGGTATTTGTAATGTTGTTGGAGTTGCTGGCTTAGTTGCCTGGTTTATTTGGTTTGATGTATTATTAACTGATGCAGGTCCATCGTTTGGCACTTGCGTTGCTTGACTATGCATAGCTGGACTGAAAGCATAGTAAGCCTGAGTGCTAAATTCATTTGGTGTCAGTATAAGCTGTAGGCCACGAGGCAGATTGGCACTAGCTGATCTGGATACACATCCACTCATTTGTGCAGAATTAGACAAATCTTTGCTGTCTGATGGACTCTGGTAATCGGAAGTCTGCTCGCACTCAAAAGCTGGCATTTGAAGGGAAGCCAAAGTGAGTGCAGATGCAGATCCTTTTCGCAAGACTTGTTGATAAATATCTAAGAGACAGTCCAGTTTTGACTCAATGGATTGTACCTACAGGAGGAGAGAAAAAGGTTAGCATTAATGCCAGCTGCTAATTTAAAATATTTGGAACCCAAGCAAATGGAAAATGTGGCTGCTGAAGAAAAAAATGGGAGGAGCTTGGTATATGCTATTGACTCTTGGAAAATAAGGTTGTCAAAAGCCATGTACATTTTTATAAGCAAGCTGTTAAAAATGAAAAAAAAAATCAGTAACCTGCAATTTTTCCTTCCTTACTTTTCTGTACATGGAAGACAGTTACGGTGATCCGATTCCTATCAGTTTCATTTCAACATGTAAATGAAGCAGATATTAGAAAAAATATTTTACCAGTTTTTATAAAACGTTATCAGTTTCAACTGGCAATAAAATACACAAAAGGCATGAGCAATACAGCAAGACAAAGCAACCCAGATAATCACTCTACCTGTTTCTCCACCTTGACTACACGTCCTAACATACTGAGGTCATCAGTTGTCTCATTCTCTGCAGGATTCTTTTCTCTACTTCTTTTATCTGCTGTGATTTGTCCTTTCCCAAGAATTTGGTCAACGCTGTAAGAGAAATCAAAAGCCACTGTGATTCCTGATAACAGTGATGATATGGATGTACTTGCTAATCTGTACATGAAAAATTAAAATCAGAGGACTTCAGAAAAGCACCTGAGAAATAAATTAATTTTATTTAAAAAAAAAAAAAATAATAAAATTTTTGAGCATTCGGGGATTAGCTCAGAGACGGCTTTTCTTTTCTGTTGGCACTAAGGGGCGCCAGAACTCAGCTATCACCTGGGAGTGCCAGGGCTAGTCTTGCTGAGATGGCAAGAGCAGGTGGCCTCTCCCGCAGCCTAGTGTTGGAGGGAACAGAGGTCCCAGGGCCACCCTCAACTCTCCCATCCTAAGAGCAGCATCGAGCCCTGGGAAGCTTGTCAGTTTGAAACAGGAAGTTCAACCGTGATCCTGGTAATGATACACATGATGAAACTTTGGGTTTTTTTGAGGGGGTTTCTTCTTGTTTTTTGCTTTGTTTCACTTTTAAAAATTTTTGTATTTTTTCCCCTAAAAAATTAAAGCTGGGAATCTGGAACATAAAACCTACATAAATAGTACATAACAATAGTTCCCAATTTTCTTTATGTGAAATGAGAATGTCTGGGATGGGAGAAAGGCAGTTCTCAATGTCAACCTCATCCTTTTGGCAACCTCCTGACCAAATTTGTTGCTTGTGAATGGATTTTACAAATAAAATATTACCTTTTCTATTGTTCAGGCTTCCGTCTTCTGGCGACAATTTAGATACATGTTTTTTTTTGTTTGTTTTCACCCACAGTGTAATTTATGGCTTGGCTGTGTTCACAGAAAGAGAGGCTGGGCTCTCTTTGCCAATGGATGGCAATTTGTAGCCAAACTCAGGAATGTTAAATTTGACCAGTGTTCATTATACAGTGGATAACATAAGAAGATGCAGAAATTATTACTTCCTTACCGTGACTGAAGACTCTTAATCCTGCATAACATGTCTAGATGACCTGCTGAGTACTGTTCAATGACATCTTTGACATCATACGGACGAAGCGTTTCCTTAAATTTTCTCTTTGCAACATGAAATTTCATAATTCTGTGGGGAAAAAGCAATTCTAAGATTAATCTTCAATGATTATGAAACAATACAATATATTCCACAGACAGAATTTGACAGCTAATTTTAAAATGGAAATGCCAGTGAACTTTTCCTTTACAGAATTGTTCTTCTAAGTGCAAATGTGCAAGTATAAATGGGTTATAGCTATTGCTTTGAATTGTAAGAGACATCAGGTAACAGTGCAGAGCATGGTTAGTCTATCAGTATACATCTATTTGGCTTATGGCAGGTGCCTGATATGAAAGTATATGCTTAACTTAAACCTGGGATTAGTCCCACTGGTTTGACTGAGATTCCATGTAAGCTACATTTGTGCTTACCATTTGTCTATCTTTGTTAGAGGAAAAAAACCCCATAAATAAAATAACAGTATTCTGTTTCTGGTGTTCATTTTAAGTTCTTCACTTTCCATTTTGTAAAATAAAATACATAAATTATGCACCAAATTAATTTTTATCCAATTTTTATTTTTAATCAACATTCAAACCTAAGTATTCAGTTTTTATAATTTATTTTGACGAATTCAGTTTTCATGTTTGTTTCCTATTGAAATCTATGGGAAATATAGTTTAATTTTTTTTTCTGTAAAACAGTAAATATCAGGAAACAGAAAGTATCCAAAATTGATGAGTGGCATATGTATTTTATGTGAGTTTTGCACAAGTTTCTGTGTATATGTGATGTCCAGTGAGTTGCTCTTCTTAGAATGAAATGCTTGATACTAAATTGCAAATTTTAAATAATAGAAATGATAAATTTAGGAAGTCAGTGACAGTGAACCAATTTTCCAGGTCAGCTGGTAAAAGTTTCAGCTCTCCTTGCATTACATGAGAACTGCAGAAGAGAGAACCATAGGAGACATGGGAGAGAAGTCAAAGCGTCAGGTGTGTTGGCCATTCTGGCTTATATTACAGAGTTTATGATTCCCCATTAGTACCAAATTGCTGATTTTTACTATCTATTGCAATTTAGAAAGCAGAGATAGTAAATTGGTATCTTATTCCAAAACCCAATATTTCATGCTAATATAGTCCCTCTGTGTTGATTGTAGTAAGAACTTAGCAGCTGTAAGACAATGAATTATAAGAAAAAACAAAGAATGGCTCTCACTCTGTGTTAAAAGTAGATTAATAGTGTTTTAGTAGAATGTAAGAAAAAACATATTTTTTATAGTTAGAGCAGACATAATAGGTATGTAGTGTCAGATGAATAGTATTTATGGATTCTCTACTGTTTTCTGTATTATGTATAAATGTTCTCAATAATATCAGCCTTTTCCCACAGTGCTTAGATTCTTGTTTCCCATTCTGGTAACTTCCAGTTAAAAATGAGATTGCTTGTCACTGGTATGGAGCTTGAAGTATGATTCTGATTATAGAAATTAAAAATGGAAAAGGCCTGTTAGGAGTAGTACATCACTATGACAGTTCAGGACTGATGTTCATGCAGCTTAAATGTATCAGATGATGCACTTTCCTCTTCTCTGTTGTCAACCAGTTCCACAGACTAATGGCTTTTGGTGTCTTGTGTGATCTGAAGGCCTCTGGGATGCAGATTTTTTTGTTCTTTTACCTGTCAAATTACACCAAGATGCTCTGTTCATAATAGTCTGGCAGTGCAGGCAATCTCGTGGAATCTAGTTCTTTATTCAGGTTAGAAAGAATAAATGATCTAGCTGACATACAATAAAGTATCATTCTTTTTTTAATATTTTCTCCGTTTTAGTGGTCACCATTTTTTACTTCATACTCTTGATAAAGTAAAAATATGACACTCTACTGGAAAAGCAGAGCCAGAGGATTAACAGCATAATTGAAGGAAACTAAATTTGCCACAACTGGGTGATTTTACAAGAGAAGAGACAAAAGACTCATTTTTATTAACAGCCATAGAATCTTCTTAATCAGTGTGCACAAAAGCCCTCATTACTGCTTTGCAGCTTTTTAACAGGTTTTTTTGGTTATCAAGCCAGTTTGATCATAATGTCCAGAAGTCAAACACAGGACTGAAAGCATCATGGCTGTATCAGTGAGGTGTAAGTGTAGAATTTCTGGTTTAGACATTAGCTCATGGGATGCCATCTTAATTAACTTCAGCAGGGTTTGGAACAGACCCATATTGCTTATTTCTTTTTGCTTTGAACATAGGAAATTTTACCAAAAAAAAGTGAAAAAAAAAAAAAAGGTTTCTAACAACTGGCTTTTAAAAAGCCTAAAGCAAAACTTAATTCTTTCAGTGATGAAGCCTAGGAACTGCTTTGCAGTTATTAAATTTAATTGATTCACCATAGTTATTTACAATCACCTTTAAAAATTAAATTCTTCTTCCATATCTTGAAATAACTATGTAATTGAACTTGATAGGCTTCAGCACCCAAACGGAGAGATTATTACAGCTGTATGGAGCATATTCAAAAGTCATAGTTGAATTGTGAACAAAAAAGCCTTTGAGCTTCCTTCATTCGTGCTTCTAGAACAAGAAGTTGCCTATCCTGTGTGTTTCTGTGTGATAAAAACGAAAGGACGACTTATGCGAGCACAGGTGAATATAACCTACCAATTAAAAACGGGAAAAAGTGCTTCATAGCCCAAGTATCTGAAGCACCAGCCCTTAACACAAGCAGGAGGAAGAAGAAACTACAGCTCCATCTTTTCCAGTTATACCACGAGGGGGCAAGCAAGACTCATCATAAACCGAGTCGCTACTGGCGATACCGAACTGCCAGTGCTGACCAAACAGCAGTAACTGAAAGCAAGAATTAACGCAAAAGAACAAAGTGTGTAGTCCCCATGATTTTTTAGAAACACTGTTTGTGCTCTTGAATGTGGTATTTTAAAGCTCTAATGTAACAGACAATACACCGTTGTAAACGTACTTAAGTCGCAAACAAACATGACAATTTTCTGGACAGAATTAGCCATAAAAAGTGGCCTATTTCAAAGTTGCATCTACAGGATAGCATTAAAAAATTATTTTGTGTTGAATTAGACCAATATATTAAAGTGTTTTGCCTGTCTAAACCACAGGTCCCCCTGATCTTTACATGCCCTGGTACTCTGTAGAAAGTTACATGTCAAATACCACCTTTGTCTTACTGACCCCCAGCAGCCAAAAGCAGCATCCATTTAATTTAACTCTTGTCAAACGCAGGAGTGTTTTCTGAATGTGCAGGTTGTATCTCTCTCCTGGTACTTTTTGCATTTCAATTTCCATTCATGTTGCCTCTTCCAGTATTAAAAACTATTCTACTTTTCATTAGTGCACTTCACTGAGGCTGGCACTGAGTCAGAACATCTCTAATCCTCCATGCAGCCTTGCCATAATCATACTGTTTTTCTAAACCTGTATCTTGTCAGTCTTGTCACTGTCTGAGGAAGAAAGAAAGCTTTGTTCTATTGGGATTCAGGTGAACTCAGACGTGGTTCCTGCCTCAAACATTAAAAGACAAGCAGGTTGATTTGCCCCTAGCTAGATGACATGCCTACAGGTTGGTTGTTTGCTCACTTACCCCATCAGGAAGGAGGTGCACACAGATGAGGTTGTGCTGATTCCTCTGTCTGTCTACCCTTAGTTTGCCAAATAACCCCTCTTCCTGGTAAACTGCCAAGTGCAGGAGAGATCAGGATTCAGTATGGAGAGGCCAACAGATGAAGGTGGCTGAGGGGTAGTTCCACTACACGAGGGGTGAGTGTGTCAATATGGCCTCCTCTCTTGGTCCTGACCTCAACTAACCCTAGGAACTAGAGACATTGTTTTCTCCTAAGCACAGTGTTGTCATGGGCAAAGGCACATCTAAGAGCCTTGTGTGGATTCTGAAGACCATCTGAGCAGAAAATATACAATGTGTTGGGATTTAAAAGAAATAGAGGATTCTGAAATACTCTAATTGAACAAATGCATAATGGCTGCTAAAAATACATTTCATAAGTGTAGCAGAAACATTGCAAAAACTGAAAATAAATGGTAAATTATATTTCCCTTCTTTGGCTATTTAATATGTATGAGTATTCAACTATACAGCTTATCAGCTCAAGAATTCTCAGGTTTCATTACGTTTAGCTATATTTATTATTATTATTATTTCTTATTAACAGCTAATGAAAATATATCTGTGCAATCACTAGAGTTAAAGAGAGAAAAGACCTCTTAGGTCAGCAAGTTCATCTTCCTGCTGTTGCAGTTATTTCCTATTGCATCTTTATTTATGCTTTTTCAAATCTAATTTTGTATTCCATAAATAGTAAAATAATTCAATCATTTCCATTGTGGAGAGTATTACAAAATTTAGTGGCTCTTGCTATGAAAAATTATCAGAGATATTGCAACATATGGAAACAAGATATCCTCATCTTTTTATTCTCTTTTATATATATATACATCACTGTGAACTAATAGAGAGAGCTGGAAAATGCCATGTTTTTTTGTTAGTCTTCAGGAACTCAGAAGGATATTAATGGCTTTTTGTTCACAATGAGACCAGGGCTGTTTGAGTAGTGCTACAAAACCTGCTGGCACAGAGGCTCAGGCCCAGTGCTGACCCAGCCAGGGGCTGCAGGGAAGTGGGACTGATGCTGGCCTGGCCCAAGGCACACCTTGCAGCACACCACACTTCACCACATCATTTGTCTGTTCCCTGCCCACCCAATACTGTGTGAATGCCTTAAGCAGCTTTTCCTTACTTTTCCTGCTGCCCCACTCAATCTTTCCTGAAAGAGGGTGTGTAGCAAGGAGGGTGCAGGGGGCAGCACAAGAGGTACTATGGAACACTAAGCTCAGGGGCTTTGAGAGGACACTGACGGCTTGATGTGTTACTGGACAGGTCTGCCCAGTGGGT